TATACGAAAGTTTCATTATCACATTAGCTATTGTCAAACAAGGGTGCAAGGCTACAAGCACCTCCGGGACCCCTAGTTTTGATCAATTCACTAGAAAAGAGTGTTATGCAGTGGTTATGGTGCCTAGACCGCTTCTAAGTCACATGTTCTTTTCTTTAACATCAAGTTCAGTGGTGGAAAATTAATAGATTTATAGTTCTGTATTTTGAAACAAGATTTGCAACAGTTTTATGCAGATTACTGATGCTAAACAGATATTAGTATCACTATTTTCTTAAAACTGTTAAAATATATGTGTTTGGCTATGACCACAACTAAAGTAGGCAGACGGCAGTTTAGATTATATGAAATAAATCTGTACAAGTTCTGGCCTTTCCAGACATTTTGAAATACTTCATGGGATTTTGCAATATGTGTTTTTCATTGTGAGTTCAGTTTGAAGGTAGAACTTTGCTCATTTGTCTGTTATAGGATGTTTTCAGAGATATGTGGGTTAGGCGTCTTTTTACAATGTAGGAGTTAACACATGTATATGTACAGGCACTCCCTTTCATTTATTGCTATTGTGATCTATTGTTGACTTTTGTGTTGCCATGAACATTTATTATAGCTTTAAGATAACCTATTTATTGTATTACTGTCATAGGTTTTATTATTACTGAAAATAACAGTTAACACGTAATACAGCTTTTTTGTTTATTATTTTCTAAAGAATATTTAAAAAAATGTTAATAAATATTTTCTGTTATTTTTCTAGCTTGCCCTTGCTCCATGGTGGCGTCAGTTTTCTTTAGTTCTCTTTGGTAGAAAACACCACTTATCTGCTAAGAATGCACAATTTGATTAACTAAAATTGTTCCACAGTAAATTTTTGTCATGATAAGCTGTGCTTCTGAACAGTGGACCCAAAGATGGCTGCCCCCATGGACCCAAAGATGGCTGCCCCCATGGACCCAAAGATGGCTGCCCCCATGAAGCAAGGGTATGTATGCCAGGAAAAACAGTGAAAATAGGTTTTATGTGTGTGCATTGCAAACTCTTCTATTTTAAATAATAACAAAAAATATAACCGTTTTCCTTTAAATTAATAAAATATAATGTCAGTTTCTTAGAATGTAAATACCTTCCTCATTATGTACTTTGTTGTGTTGACAGTATTTTAGGTATCACATATCCTCATGTTAATGTCTATTTACTAATGGTGCCCTGGGTCATCCCAGGAACATTCATTACTGCTTGGCTCTGTATACAAAACATCACTATGTAACAAATGAATATGACATGGTATTCATATAAAAACATCTATTAAACAGATCTTTCATGCTTAGTGGAGTAATTTGCAATGAACCATAAAACCATTTTGCAGTGAGAACATAAATTTATTTCCATGCAAACATTAAACACTTACACACATTTTCAAAAATGTGCAATATGTCTTGACCTGCCCCATATTTTCACTTAAGTGTCCTCTAGGGTCCTCAAGTACCAGTCCATGATTTAGGGATTACCCTGTTGTGCCTAAAGTGTTTTTTTTTCTTTCTAAAAACACCTCAGACACAACTGGGTAATTCCTAAATTCTGAACTGTTATGGGGTACTTGAGGACTGGGTTGGAAACCACTGCTTTAGGGCATATAATGTAAATAACAACCTCACATGCACCCACACACCCTCTGCACTGAGGGGTGTGTAAGCACGGCTGAAAATGGAAGTGATATAATGGGAAGAGCTGGTAAGGGGTGCAGGAGCAATTGCCCCCTTGGGGCACTGGCATACAGTAGTTGTGGACTGGAACCCTTAACTGTACCATAATTCTGCCATTAAATGTTGTCCATGGAGGTGTTTTCCACTGGACACAGGCAGGGTTAGATGAGACTGTGATCATGATATTCATAATAGATGGCATCATTTTGTAGTGGCGAAGGAGTCATGTGGAGCAGAATCTGACAAGCCTGAATTGTCAAGATTGCAAAAAGAATTAAAAATTTTGGGTCAAAATAGTGAAACTGGGGTGTGGCTTCGACTTTGAAGGGAGCAGACGCATGTCGGCTAAGCTCCTTCAGCCTACACTGCACAAACTGAGTCTGGGGCATTTAAAATACATCAAATAAAAACAATGAAGTGAAAATGGCGCAATATTATATTTCCCAAAATCTTTAAGACTCAATAAAATTCTTGTACAAAAGAGTGTGAATTGCCTAATTTTAAGTGCAAAACAACTATAGTAGCACTATAAAAGTGCCTGTGCAAAAAGTGCAATTAGTGAGCATTCAAATCCATGCAGGATAATTTTCGGCAGTGCTCTATTGCAACTTACATGATACCATCATATTTTTCAATGAGGAAAACATACAAGAGAAAAAAAAGGAAAATATATAGTATAATATTGTTATATACAATATAAGTGCTGTAATAGTAAAGTATTCCACTCACAAATATAGAGCAGATGAGTCTGCTCTAACTGAACAGCTCTAAAATAAAGTGCAGGCATCAGGCTACGTGAATAAACAAATAGCTTTTATTGACAAACTTTAAAATCAGCAGGCAAGCCAGGACCCTCTTTGGAATTCCTCCGGTAAGGCTCTCTCCCCAGTCCCTTTGGGTTTTGCCACAACACTAGGTCCGGGTATATATTTTCTGGGGCATTTACTTACCTCTATTCTGCTTGAGCACGAGAACGGAGCTCCAGCACCTAATGGGGAAGAAGGCTAAGAAGCTAAGAACCCTCCCGGGAGAAGGCTCCCGTGACATCGTCGACCTCCTGCGGCCGCGACCTAGGCCCAAAATGGCACTAGGAGGAGGAGGAAGAACTCCTTGACGTGCCAGATGACATACTTCGAACAGAGGGTCTAATTGCACCTTAACAGGGCAAAGACCTGACAGCCCCACCTACTAAGAGGGACATCAAAGCACTGATGAACAACATAAGAGTTTTTTTTCAACGCTGACCTCAACATCATTAAAGAGGATCTAACTATTGTGACGGCCAGAGTACAGGCCAATGAAGACAACATTTCCTCCATAGCCCAGAAGCAGACAAGCACCAACGAGCTGATACACAAACTACAGGAATCTCACAGAGCCATGCAGGTCAGAATCGACACCCTGGATGATGCACGGAGGCGCAACAACCTCAAAATTAGGGGTATTACCGAATCTGTTAACGACAATGAACTGCTTCATATTCTTAGACACTTAATGGCTACTCTTCTGCCACAGCGCTCCACAAAAGACATTCAAGTTGGCGGCTGACTCAGGCTCGCCAAGTCAAACAAAGCGCCGGCTGGTATCCCCGGAGATGTCTTGGTACGCTTCTTGCTACTTCGGGATAAGCTACTGCTGCAGGATGCAGTGAAAACCAGAACATCACTTCAATTTGAGTAGATGCAACTCCAGTTCCTGCAAGATTTATGTTGATCCACCTTGGAATGGAAAAGGTCCTTCCAACAAGTTATGAAGACCCTATGCTCTGCAAACATCACCTACAAGTGGGGCCCCTCTCGAGTCCTGACAATTACTAGGGATGGCCGCACTCACCTATTCTCCAATGCGGAGGACTCCGCAGCATTTCTAAAGGGACTGGGTGTTACCTCACCTCCTGGGAGCATTCCACAACCAAGCCACAACTGGGATGAACGCAATATCATCCCTTTTACACCACGTTCCGCTGCCGACACCGGTTGAAGAAGGGAAGGAATCCCAGCTGCCCATGCACTGATGGACTGACCATTCAACCAGTTACACTAGTTAAAGTTGCTTTTGTGTTTTTTCCTTTTCAATGTTTTAAGGTCTAGGTGCTGATTATATGTGCTCGCTCACCACATAAGATCTTTCCTACTATCAGGGCAGTACAACTACCATCCCCCCCCCCAAGCGCTCAGGGGATATTGAGCAGAATTTATTCATTATTTACCTGTCTTGTCCGTCTTGAGCCCTTACCGTATAATACCCCTACGACATGATCGCTAGGTCCCTACCCAAAACCCATTGGACTGTGTCTTTCATCTAATCGCATGTACACAGCAGGCGCCACTCATCATTACTTTAATGAGCCTGAATGTATCTCAAGCCCCTAGTCTTGGGAGTTTAGTTTAAAAGAATGAATCTCCAGGGCACCACTAGCCAAGGCACTCGTTGGAATACTTCTTCACACACCACATAAAACGGCCCCCCTACTACATGCTCGCCAGGCTTCGGTAGCATGTCCACCCTTTAAATATAAAACCAGGCAAAACATTTTAACACCAATACTTGCCTATGTAAACATAGGCTATGCACTGAATGTTTTACTGAATACATTTTTTCTCTTGCCAGAAAAAAAAAGAATGGAAAAAAAAAGTGAAACTGAAAAGAGATCTGATCCAAATTGATTATTTTAACTTGAAATTTGGAATTCACTTTGAGTTATCAACAATTCAGCCTTTAGTGAATAATCTCGTCAGTCTTCACGGCAAATACAGACCTTTGTGAATTCTCTAGTTCTGTACTAGTCATACTGATAGAGGTTGCATGGATTAATTAGATCATTCCATGAGTCTTTATTTATCAAACCCATAAGTCTCATGCCCCACATGAGTAGGACTTTCCATTCAGGGATCTGTTCATTTTGTGAGCAAAAAAAACAAACAAACAACAAAAAACTGTAATTCTTTTCTTCTTGCCTCCATCCTCTTCAAATGACTCAACTGAAAAAACTACAATTTGTAGATTGCCATATATTACAATATATGTACAGTCAGTGACATATTTGCCGTGAGACAAACAAGGCATTTGCCTTGGGCGGCAAAAAAACGCCATCCACAAATGCAACGGCAAATACCTTGTTAGCCTGGTGGCAGACAGCTAGCTAAGTTCCAAGGCGGGCGGCGAGGGAGCGCTGATTTGTGAGCTCTCTCTGCTCAGCTTGCGCGATGCCGGGAGCTGGAATATGACGTCAGGGAGCTGAGCAGAGAGAGCTCACAAATCAGCACTCCCTCACCGCCCGCCTTGGATTTCAGCTAGCCGCCCAACTGCCTGCACGCCTGCCTCTCTCCCTGCCCGAGCAGCCCCGCCAGCAGCCCCATTGGAACCAAGGTAGAAAAATCCAATCAGGTCTCCCAAAGGTAGGGAGGGTGGATTTAAATTAAAATGAAAAAATAATCTGTAAATGTTGGGGGGTAAATGTGTGTGTGTCTGGCTGGCTGGCAGTGTGTGTGTGTGTGTGTCTGTCTGGCTGTCAGTGTGTGTGTATGTCTGTCAGTGTGTGTCTGAGGGATTGTGCGTGTCTGTGATTGAGTGTTTGTGTCTGTGAGTAATAGTGAGTATGTATGTCAGTGTGTGTCTCAGAGGGAGCCTGTGTGTCTCTCTGTAAGTGTGTCTGTGAGGGTGTGTGTGTCTGTGAGGGAGCCTGGGTGTCTGAGTGGTTGTGTGTGTCTGTCAGTATGTGTCTGTGAGTGTGTCTGTCAGTCTGAGTGATTGTGTATGTCTGTCAGTGTGTGTGTCTGTGAGTGGGCGTGTGTGTGTGTGTGTGTGTGTGTGTGTCAGTGAGTGAGTGTGTGTCAGTCTGAGTGATTGTGTATGTCTGTCAGTGTGTGTGTCAGTGAGTGAGTGTGTGTGTCTGCGTCATTGCGTGTGTATGTCAGTGATTGTGTGTCTGTGAGTGAGTCAGTGATTGTGTGTGCCTGTCAGATTGTGTCAAATCAGTGTGTGTGTATGTCAGTGTATCTGAGTGTGTGTGTTAGTCTTTAACAGGAAGAGGGGTGGCATGGACAGGAAGGGGTGGGGCAAATGTAAATAAGGGGGTGCCCGAGTTTCATCATGCCTAGGGCAGCACAGATCCAAAATACACCACTGTGTACAGTTATTTTGTCATGATAGATCCAGTTTAAGGCATACACTGCTCATTCACTGAATGGATCAGAAATTGCCGCATCAATAGCCTCATTAATCCCCTGTTTAGGGCCAATATGGGGATGATGAAAACCACATATGTCTTGTAATAGGAGTATGTGACTGTAAGAAAAATGCAGAGCTTCCTTGTGGGTATCCAGCACACAGCTCCAACATACACTGCTGAAGTGAACTGTACCCTAAGCAGAGTCTCATGTTCTTTGATGGTCTGTTGGAGCATTAAGGGTGAGCTGAGCTGAGGTTATACAGTCTCCATTCTGCACACTGTGCGGTCAGGCGGGCCTCAGAGTCCGGATCCCAGCAGTCCTCCAAAGTCTCCCACAGAGCCATGCTGAGCTGGACAAGAGATACAGTGTTATTATTCATGTATATAACACCTAGTAAAGGTCATAGCACAACACATAATTCACGATAATAATACATTATAATCCTGATTAACATTCATCTATCCAGAACCAGCCCTATAACAAAGATACATGTAATTTATTATCATTGTTTTTATATAAATAATAAAAAAAAAAATGAGCATATTAGTTTTTAAAAAAAACGGTTTGAAATCAATACAGTTCTCAGTTTTGATAATAAACTCCTGTGTGTGAATTAATCAAACTATTTTATTTTCACACCATCCTGACCATCACTTTACAGAACTGATTTGCAGTTAATGCAATGAGAAGTAAAGCCACTGGGTGGCACACGTTTAAACCATACTGTATTTGTGCACTTGTTATACTGTAGCTCCATGTAGCCAAAGCGCAGCTAAGCGGAAAAAGGCATTGACAGGGGTTAGGCCTACTTAGGAATTATGGGTAAGTAGGCTTGGCTATTTAAATAGGCATCCATTTTAAATGATTCACTTTTAATTTCCTACCTGGCCGAGTTTGTCCTGTCCACCCTCCCTGAGATTTTGGTGGCTGATTAGGGTTATCCCGTTTTTTCACAGCAGCGGGATAGGGAGTTGAAGGAGACGAAATAGGCTCCCTAGGATGACCGTCATGGAGACGAAAAACTGTGGTCATTGGTGGTTGGTAGGTTTCGAGTCCTGTCGGTGGCTCAGAACCTGGTGGAGTAGGGGTATCCGGGTATACCCCTGCCATGGTTAATTTATGTTTGGCACTTTAAGTTGGTATGTTGGAATATGTTGGTATATATGTTATATATATATATATATATATATATATATATGTGTTATTTATATGGGGGTCATTGCCTTTTATATCAACAGAAGGATTCGGATTGGAGGGCGGTGTATGGGGGGCAATGACCCATGTTTATTTGTTAAATGATTATTATGGTTATTATTATTATTATAATTAATACATTGTTATTATTCAGGATTGTTTAAAAAGCTGTGGCCAAATTTTCCCATATACCTCCGTGTCAGTGCGTTATTGGGTTAGGTATGTGGGGGGTTGTCCTGGAATCCGACTGCCCATATGGCGACTATACACCGGTCATGTATATGTTATGTTTTCAAGTAGAGAAAAGTTTATATTTAAATGATAAAAAAAAAATGTATATGGCCATTAAATATTTACATTCGTATTTCTTGTTTGATGGACCCTAATTTCCCCAAAGTACATATTCAATCCTCTGTGGCACTCCAGTGATTAGTTGTAATTAATTTACTATCTTGTTAAGCAGATATGTTGGCCTAGGAGGAAGCAATTTTATGTATGTTTAGGGAAGAAGGTTCATTTTAAATTGTAGAGAGAGAGGAGTGTACACAGGAAAATGATGTGTATTGATTTTTATTTAGAAAAAAATAATTACTTTTTTTTTAAATCTGTTGAGTCTACTGTTATCTGACCATATGCTACTCAACCTAAGCTGTAATTGCTCTGTGTGAACCTGCAATAGCAGGCAAGTTAGCTTGAACAGCATTTGGCCAGATATCTGTAGAATCTGATCCAACATGGCTGCTCAGTCAGATTTTAAAAAAAGTAAAATTTTCTCAACAAAGCTAAAAATTGTTTTAAAAAAATTATTAGGTTTCAGTTATTGTAAAAACCTTAAAAAACTAGTGAAAACAGGCAGTTGTTCTTTAAATCCAGTGCATCTTTTGGCTTTTTTGTGCATCTCCCTTGCCGTTGTATTTCTCCTGTGGACCTCCTTTTGCATGTGTGCTTAACCTTGCCTCTTGTTTTTTCTGTAACCTTTTTATTGTCTGTGTGTCTCTTACCTGCTATTTTCTGTAGCCTAGTTTTTTTATATGTGCTTCCCTTGCCCACTTTATTTATTTATTTATTTATTTAGCAGCCCTTTTGTCTTTGTGACAAAGTATTTTACATATTTTTTCTTTTTTTAAATAATGTTTGGAAAGTAAAAGAAGAGAGATCTAAAGATTTCCTCACCTGCCAGGCCTTCGGCAGATTCTTTGTTTTCCTAACAGATTCTTGGTGAGACCTCAAAATATATGTTGTCTAGGGTTCAAATGGTATGGATGGTCCTAGTTCTATTTGTCATTGTACCTCAGTAGTAAAATTTCCACATATAATTTACCTGCGTATTTTTTCTCCAGGGTTTAGAATGTTGTGGACGACCTTTGTTCTCCACCACTAATAATCGTAACTCATCGAGTGTTGGGTTTGGACCCAGCTCTTTTAAGAACACGAGTTGGTAATCAGGGGCCTGTCGATCTAAGGGTAGAAGTTGGCAATAAATATTTAATTTGTTAATTTAGAGCAGTGGTAGTCAACCTTTTTCTATCTACCGCCCACTAATGCATCTTTCTTGATGGAAACATTTCCTTACCGCCCAGGAGGGTGTTTTAAAAAAAATAAATGTACGTACATTTATCTTTTTATTTCTACTTAATGCATGTTTATAATGTTTTTAACTTTATAAAGTTTAATGAGAAAGCAATAAAGTAAATTGAAATTACCTTTACTAGTGATTAATGAGATCCTTGAGGCTGATGCTGCGAGACTAAATATTTGATATCTGGTTCGATTTTCGTAAGGAACAAACAAAGGTCTCCTCTTTCGGTGATATTCAGAAGACTTCTCTGTTTGCTCATAAATTGATTTCTCATCTGTGCATCAGCTCCCCTCCTCTTCCTCCTCAATTCCCCTCCCCACCTTTTTTTTTCTTCCTTTTTTCTATTTTTTAACCTTCCTTATAGGAATGCCCAGTAGGAAGGCTGAGCTAGGTAGCCCACTTACCATTATTAGCCAACAACAATTCTCTCCTTTTCTTTCTTTCTCCTTTTTACAAATACTCTGCTCCTTATTTCTTCTATTCTACAAGTACTCTGCTCACAGACAAACACACACACACTCACACATACACTTACAGACACACACTCCCAGACAAACACACACAGATACACTTACAGACACACACACTCCCAGACAAACACTCACACATACACTTACATATACACTCACAGAGAAACACATACACACACTCACACATGCACTTACAGACACTCACACATACACTAACAGACAGACACTCATATAGTTACAGACACCCACACATACACACAAATGATTAATATTAAATGTCCACCCAGCCTCCCTACCTGGAGAGCTGGTATCGATCTGTCCCTGGGGTCCAGTGGGGCTTCACTTTGGCGGGCGGCTGTGTGCTAATCAGACGCGGCGAGGGAGCTCTAACCTCTCTGCTCTGCTCCCTCGCGGGCTGTCTACTGATGCCGGGAGCCGGAATATGATGTCATATTCTGGCTCCCGCGGCATCAGCAAACATTGCGTGAGGGAGCAGAGCAGAGAGGTTAGAGCTCCCTCGCCGCCTCAGATTAGAACTCTGCCACGCCGGGGGGTCCAGAAGGTGGCCTGGCAGGAGAGAGCACTTCCCTCCTGCCGGTCACCGAAAACCTGCGCCCGCAGAGCCGCTCGCGCCCTCCCAAAAGGAAAAATCCTCTCAAAAAGTGGATTTAGCCGCCAAAATCCCTACCGCCCATCTGGAATCCTGAAACGCCCACTAGTGGGCGATAGGGACCAGGTTGACGACCCATGATTTAGAGGGTTTTTTGGGTGAGAAAAATGTGCCTAGCAGTATGTACGCAGTTCTGTTGTATCCACCTTATTTTAGTTAATATATATCATCTTTACCCTTTTCAAGCAGTACAAGGAAAGTGCTGTCCAGCATTACATAGAATTAATATACTGTAGAAGTGAAATAAATTAAATAACCATATGAACTGCAAGGGTATATTACCTGATCTCTCAATGCCACAATCAGCCTCCACATCTACAACACAACAAGCAGGTTCCACATACACTCTCACAACACAACATCACAAACAGCCTGCCCCAAAACACACATAAACAACAAGTAGGGATGCACCAAAATTTTGGCTGCCGAAATTTGCGACCGAAAAAGGGCCTATCCGGTTTCAGCTGAAAACGGGTCAAATTCGGCAAAAGTTTTTACATTTTGTAAAAAAAAAAATATATATTTTTTATTTTGTAGTGCATAGTTTAACAGACATGCTTTCATTAGCAATTCAGATCAGTATATATCACAATGAAATATAGTAATGATAACATGAAAAGTCAAGAGTACTGCACTTGGGACCGGGGGGGAAGAACACTATGGGACAGGGGATGGGGGAAAGAACTATGGGACGGGGAAGTGGGGGAGAAGCATGGGACATGGGATGGGGAGAAATAACACTGGGACAGGGAGGGGAGAACTAAGGGACAGGGGATGGAGAACACTGGGACAGGGGAGAGAACACTGGGACAGGGGGGGGAGAAAAGAACACTATGGGAGGGGAGGGGGAAAAACTATGGGACAGGGGAAGAGGGGAGCACGCTATGGGACAAGGGATGGGGGGAAATAACACTGGACGGGGAGAACCTAAGGGACACGGATGGGGAGAGAAAACTGGGACAGGGGAGGGGAGAAAAGAACACTATGGGACAGGGGAGGGGGAGAAAAGAACACTATGGGAAAGGGGAGGGGGGACACTATGGGACTGGGGAGGGGAGGAAAAAAACACTAAAAAAGAGGGAGGGGAGAGGAACATTAAGCAGGGGGGACCACTAAAAGAGAAGGGAGAAGGGAAGTTTTTCATATTAGATTATTTAAATTCATTAAAAAGTCTAATATTAATAAAGTTATAGGGAAAACATTTTTAAAAATAATTTGGGGGGAAAAAAGTCATTTTTGGTTTCGGTTTTCGGCCAAGGACATCCAGAATTTTTGGTTTCGGCCCAGAATTTTCATTTCGGTGCATCCCTAACAACAAGCATTCTCTCTCTATACACTAAACACAACTTATGTATTGCAGAGAATCATAACTACAGCCATAAACAGAGTTAGACTTCAATTACACACTCAGTGCCTCTCACCTTCATATAAGTCATTACATCTTATGAATATTTCCCAAAGCAAAAGTCCTAGAGAATACATATCGGCTTGTGTTAGTGCTCTTTCCATGGACTTGAGGTTCAAGAAGCCATCCAGCATTTCTGGTGACATATAGCGCAGGGTTCCTGCCTAAGAGATATGGGTGTTAGTTGCAATCACCCCATTATATAGGACTACAGAACATCCCAATAAAACTCTCATTACATGAATGTGTGTCAAGTTTTACCATGAATATCATGGTTGGGTCTTGTGTATTCTTATTCTTCGTCCGACATCCCTCCAAAACTACAGAAAGGCCAAAATCAGAGATTATACAAGAAGAATCCTCCGTCACCAATACGTTATCGCTGTTCAGATCCCGGTGAGCTATTACTGGTTTGTAAGTATCTATGGAGAATACAAAGGACATCTTATGATGATGAGGATGATTATGTCACCGGTAAGGTTACTGGGAAACACTGGTTTGAATTCTGGTCAGACCATCACACTAGTAAGTGTACTTGAGCAAGACAACTAATGATATATATCTGCATGAGCATAGTGAAAATATAAATTTGAACCAGAGAGCAATAGAGATGCAAATAAGCTGGTATCCAAACCTCCTAGAAAGTTGGGCTAAAAAAAAAGTAAAGAGGCGATTATAAGAAGAAAAGGAGGTATGGGTCAGGGAAAAAGGGACAACCTAATGGTACAGATGCATAGTCCAACCATGGGGTACAAACTTTACAAAATGAAGCAAAAGGTATGGTGTATAACTGTGGTCAACTTATTCATGAGCATATTGTGTTAGATTTTAGAAGAAACCTTTGGCACAGAGGGTGGGGTGACATATGCAACCAGGATTCAGCAATAGCCTGCCTGATGGCTAGACCAGTTTTAAACAAAAGTACATTTTCATGTGTCCATAAATTATCACATGATTTACAGAGTAAAAAGACCAATGATGCCATGGAATGGGTTTATTCAAAATGTGTTCGTACAGTTGGTGTGGCTTTGGACCAAAAGGGGATGTAATCCCCTGTTGTCTGCACTTTCTACAGAATAAGTCTAAAGGGTTGCAACCCACACAATAATAGGACACAGGGTGACATACCAGTGAAAAAGAGGGTTAAAGCTCTGTTCTTGGAGAATGACGCATATCTGTGTTTTCCAAAATATATGACCAAGTATCATCATCAAGTTCTCTCCACCAACATCTGTAGTCCAACTGAGTGACCATTCAGTTTTAATTCACATACAGGCAGAATTATTCACTAAAGTGTAAACTATCAGGAATTCAAAGGCAGTTTCAAAATCCTGAATTTATTAACCGAACTGGAAGAACTTTCCATGACCACGTTTTCTGTTTGGGCCACTTTAGCTTAAAAGTTGCAACTCATTTTGAAATCACTTGTCCAGACAATTCCTTTTAGTAATTAACCCTGTAGTGACATGCTTATACATTTCCTGCATCAATCTTCCTTACCTTCACTTATGTATGTATGAAGGAATGCCAGTCCTCGGGTCAAGGATATGGCCATTCGGCAAGCAGTAGTCCAATCAGAGGCGTGATTAGTCAAATAATTTCTCAGAGACCCCTGTATCACAAAATATTTATATAAATGGAATACAATGTAAAGGCCACAAAAAAAAGCATTATAGTGGTAAATGCAATGGACTAAGAAAGTAAATAACTGCATATCTGAAGATGTTCTACAACTTTAATTGTATCTTTTAACCTTAACATATAATTTCTGAAGCTTACTGTATGTCACACAATTAGAGTACAGGCTAGTCCTGCAAAACCGACATTACTGACCTTGGGATAATGCTGCAAAACCCCCATTACTAACCTCGGGATAGTGCTGCAGAACTCCCATTACTGACCTCGGGATAGTGCTGCAGAACTCCCATTACTGACCTCGGGATAGTGCTGCAGAACCACCATTACTAAACTCGGGATAATGCTGCAAAACCCCCATTACTAACCTCGGGATAGTGCTGCAGAACGCCCATTAGTGACCTCGGGATAGTGCTGCAGAACCCCCATTACTAACCTCGGGATAGTGCTGCAGAACTCCCATTACTGACCTTGGGATAATGCTGCAGAACCACCATTACTAACCTCGGGATAATGCTGCAGAACCACCATTACTAACCTTGGGATAATGCTGCAAAACACCCATTACTAACCTCGGGATAGTGCTGCAGAACTCCCATTACTGACCTCGGGATAGTGCTGCAGAACTCCCATTACTGACCTTGGGATAATGCTGCAGAACCACCATTACTAACCTCGGGATAATGCTGCAGAACCACCATTACTAACCTTGGGATAATGCTGCAAAACCCCCATTACTAACCTCGGGATAGTGCTGCAAAACTCCCATTACTGACCTCGGGATAGTGCTGCAGAACTCCCATTACTGACCTTGGGATAGTGCTGCAGAACTCCCATTACTGACCTCGGGATAGTGCTGCAGAACTCCCATTACTGGCCTCGGGATAATGCTGCAGAACCACCATTACTAACCTCGGGATAGTGCTGCAGAACCCCCATTACTAACCTCTGGATAGTGCTGCAGAACCAAGAACTGGTGATCCTCCAGACTCCCTCCAGTACCACTTCCTGCTGCAAGGAGGCATATAATATTCTTATGCTGAAGAGGGGCCAAAAGGCTAAGGATCCTCCACTCATGTCTGTAGAGCTCCTTCAGTGGGGGTGGAAAGCTCTTTATGAACACATTCCTACCATGAAGAACACCAGTCCACAAATGAGCAGCTAGCGTGTCTTCTCTGAGCACCTGAGGCCAAAATTAAAATCCAGCATTAAAAAAAGTCAGATTACTTACATCTGTTTTGTATTTACATCCTTGGTATCATGAACTCTTTGCATCACTTTGATATACAGCACCCGTATTTGCATTCCAACATCAAAGAGATTATAAGCTCTTTTCTGCTCTCCCTTGAGGGAGGTTTGTTTCAGATCCAATTCGTGATCAGTTGAATTCATTTCATATTTCATTGTTTGAGGAAGATTATTGTGTTAGGCTCCGCAAAGCAGTTGCACCTTGTTACCTGTGTTCTGGAGATTGCTAATTTAAGGAGTAGTCTGGTCTGCCGATGATATGATAGTTATCCAGTATTGCATTGGCCCATTAGACATACACAAGGTGACAGCCATATTATCATTGTGTGAGGACTACTAGACTTTCAGGGTACTGAGTAATTTGGGTTATGGGAGATTTACCATAAATGTAATAATATTTATTGGAATGGATATGGCCCATCATTTCATTAAGCCATCTAAGCCAGCAAGTCTTAGAAACACAAACAAGTTATCTGTCAGTCATTGGGGCGATATTCAGAAAGTATCTACGAGCTGGGTACTCTCAGTTTAAGTGTAGTGTGTACCTGGAGTAAGATGAGACCATCCACTGGCAATGATGGTGGGGTATCTTTTTCCTGAGTTAATAGTTCCTGATGCTCCAATGCATTTTCCTTTCTGATGAGTAGACACCCACGTTTTAATTTCCTTAATACTGAGCACATAAAATTAAAGATTAAGGCATTTAAGAGAAGAGTAGTTACATAGTTACATAGTTACATGAAAAGACTTGCGCCCATCAAGTTCAGCCTTCCTCACATATGTTTTTGCTGTTGATCCAAAAGAAGGCAAGAGACCTAGGCTGAGGCGCTTCCAATTTTTTGCAAACTAGGAAAAAATTCCTTCTTGACCCCAAAATAGCAGTCCGATGTCTCCTTGGATCAAGCAGCTATTACCCCAGTACTTAGAAATTATATCCCTGTATGTTATGTTTTTGTAAGTATTTATCCAATTGCAGTTTAAACATCTGTATGGACTCTGACAAAACCACCTCTTCAGGCAGAGAATTCTATATCCTTATTGCTCTTACTGTAAAAAAAAAAAAATTTATTTGTCTTAGATGAAATCTCCTTTCATCCAGTTTAAATGCGTGACCTCGTGTCCTGTGTATTTCTTTTATCAATTTTGTAGCCCGTCTCTGCACTTTTTCTAGGGCCATAATATCCTTCTTTAGAACAGGTGCCCAAAATTGCACAGCATATTCAAGGTGTGGTCTTACCAGTGATTTATAAAGAGGCAAAATTATATTTTCATCCCGAGAATTTATGCCCCTATTTATACATGACAAAACCTTACTGGCCTTAGCAAATGCAGATTGACATTGCATATTGCTGCCTAACTTGTTGTCTATAACAATTCCCAAATCCTTCTCGTGTGTGGTTATCCCAAATTCCCTACCATTTAGGGTGTAAATTGCTTGTGCATTCTTGACCCTGAAGTGCATAACTTTGCATTTCTCTATGTTAAATTTCATCTGCCATTTAGTGCAAGACAAGACATGAATGTAAGTCACAGTTTTTGAAGAGTATTATCCCCCTCTCAATAATGTCAAGGTACCTTTGAAGAATACAGCAACAAAGAGTATCAGAAAGAAGAGAGCTGGGCCTGTAGCCACGTAAATAGGCAAATGATCACCTAGAAAGTTACATGACAGTGAAAAAGGGTTACGTTACTCAGGTGAGCCCGTCTTCAGTGGAATTATTACAACATTGTTTCTTTAATTTTAGAATAATTTGAGACATACATGTTTATTTATTGAAGTGAGAATTCAAAGCCAGATTAGCTGAACTGAAAGCACAGCTCACTTCCCAGAATTATTTTGACTTTAAATTTGAATTTCAGTTTGAATTCGCCTGAATTCTCACTTTAGTGAATTAACTTTGTTAAAATAATTATCCAGTTAGGCTATTTTTATTAGTCCTTATAAGCTCACAATGGCCTGCACTTTTTGGCATCAATCTCTGAACTCTGTCATAAAATGTAATATTACAGTACTTGCTCACTACGGTATATTGGGGGTTCCCAAAAGGTAGATCCCCATATGTTGTAGAACTACAACTCCCATGATGCTGTGTTTGCCTCTAGCATGCCTTTAGAAACTGACAAAGCATCATGAAAGCTCTAGTTTTTAAAAATCTGAGGATCTACCTTTTGGGCATCCCTGGTCTTGCAGAGTTTTAAAAATAGCTAAATTACATTTTGTTTGGAGGTTTTTTTTCTCCAAAATGTATATGTTTGCTATAGCATTTGCAATTCCCAATTCTACACAATTCCCAGTTTAGTGCATAAACCACTGGAAAGGTTAGTGAGGATTCAAAGTATAACCAAAGTGAATTTCATATGTAAGGCCAAAATATCTGTAGTGGAAATACATTTCTAAGTCAGCTGTCCTTCCAGTCCAGTTACTTTGTTCTAAAATTTTAAATTAATTTTACTTCACTTAGTTAATATTGAAGAATCCTGTGTATGTGTTAGCGAATGGCAACATTAAGTATAAATTAAGCAAGCTGGAAAAAAACAGCATAGTTTGAGAATTTTTTTATCTCAATTTCCAGCACACTGAAACCTCGTACTGACTGTAATTAAAATCTTTGTGGACACAATTTACATCCACAAACGCTGAGTTCAGTGAAGTCATACTTATCGCACACTGGTGACAGAAGCCAAGGCGATGTCACACATTCATTGACACTAACAGTTTGCGGTAGTTTCCCTTACTGAAGCCGCTTGCATTCCATGGTCGCTCCCTCGCAGTTGCGGCCCAATCACAGGACTGGTTCCAATGAGCACATCCCTCCGGCTCAGCTTGTGCGGCTGATAAGAAACCCAGTCAGAACAACTTGCTTCCTCCCACAACACCACCTGTGTTTCCCCAGTGATAAGCAGCCCTCTTTCCTCTCTGCGCCCAAAACACAGGGAATTCCTGACATGAATTACAGTCATTGCAACATCCTATGTGACCACATAGAAACACTGGGCAGGGACATCGTGGGAAGCAGGGGGGCTGATTATGGCACAATTTTGTTACTAGGCCCGAGACCCTTGCAATACTGAAAGAGTAATAACACTTCCAGTTATATATATTGTAAGCATGCCACATTAATGCACCATATTTGGATTTAATTAGGGCTTATGGTTGGCGTTAGGGGAAGGCTTATAATGGTCAATATATGGGGGAAGTGACATAAATTTTTGGACTGAAGCCCCTGGTTTTACTGTCATCTTGCAACACCCCTGACTGTGTGGCTTATTTAATAAACAGAGTGAGTTATAGTGAACTGAGAAACAAATTGTTAAATTTAAGCTAGAATAGTTAAGCTGTGACTATGTCAAGTAAGATTTAAAAATAAAAAATACAAAATAATTTTTTTTCCAATTGACTAATTTTGCAAGTTAGTTCTCAGTTCATTAGAACTAACTGTTTTGTGGATAAACCCCACAAGGCTGATAAGTACAACAGACAAAGACATATATTCTAATTTTCAATACTTAGCATTCCCGTTTTAACTGCCTCCCAATTTATAGTTTACAGATTAAATCATGAAAATAAACAACTTCTCTAACATCATGTAACAGATATAATGTTAAAAAACATAGCAAATTTGCAGAACACTCAGTGCACATCCACAGCAGAGAGATAACAGTGTTAACACTTTGTGTCCCGTGAGGGACAAGGCAGCTCCCTGTTTATTGCAGGGATGAAGAGGAAAAAGATTAGGACCCTTATCTGTTTAGTGCTAAGAAGCGTAATTTCATGTCGCAGTATGTCTTTGCCTGTTATACATTAAAAGTAAGATATTTTATACTCACGAGGGATTTGTTGATGAAGGAAGGTTATATTTGCATTGCACATGTCTGAGGAACACAGGCAGTGGTACATAGACTGCTTGACCACTGGAGTGCAATGAGTAGACCTGCATACTGCGCTGCTTGGGAAGCAACCTAAGAAAACAGGAGAAAAATAAAATACAATTAGGGAAATGCATGTACATGGGAAGGGGCAATAAAATATATCAGGGCTATTCACTAAATTGGGGGTTGTTGGGAATCCACAAGAGAATCGCATTGAAAAGTATTAAAGGTCCACTAAAGCCACCCAGACCACTTGATCTCAATGAAGAGATCCTGTTATTTTAACTCTGAAGTGTAAAACATTCCTGACAACTATTAGAGGTGCGTCCTCCTCCAGAACCAAGTCAAACTTTGTCCTGGAGACCTGGAATTAATTCCTGCTGATTGGAGGAGCTTGGCATTGCACATGCCATTTCTAAGCCATTGCTTTTGGATGAGACGCATTGGATTGGAGGAGCTCGTAGAAGATATCAGCTGACATGCCAACATCTTTGAAGATGGAGTAGTACTGGCAGTGGAAATGAAGCAAGTAGTCATTCTTTAACTTTTACTTTTTTATACCAAAGGGGGAAGGAGGACGGGGAATGGACAGAAGGGAACCTATAGTCCAAAAAAACTATTGTCACCTTCAGGACTATAGATTCCCTTTAAGCACCATAACCACTACAACAAACTGTAGTGTTTATGGAACTTTGGGAGCTTCTGTGAGGTCATAACTGGAAACATAAAAATTCAAAATTCCATGCAATCAGACCATTTCACAGTTTATATAGAAAACAAATACATGTAAGCTCATTTCAATAAATGCAAGTGTTGACTGTTTGCGTAAAATGACAACAAAAATAAATGAACATGGCGTCTCACTTAATAAAACAGGTTGAAAGTTCCCATCGCTGATGCTCCAGATACCCATACAGCAGTTGCTCTCCCTACAATATATCTTTCCTGGTTCCTTTAATTCTCCAAAGTGAGACACAGGGGTCCTGACAGGGATAGAGGCATTCTCAAACAGCGCACACAAGATTCCTTTAGGATGAGCAACTGTGGGAAAAAGAACTCACATTATACAGCTTTCTATACATCACAGTATAGTACCAGAAATGGACAAGATCTAAAAATTACTCTTACTGTGCGCAGACACTAAAGAGTCCGAGAGAACCTCATGGGCTCAACATAGCACACAGTTACTTTACCCTTTCCCTGCCCATCACCCACCTGGTATCCATTTTTAACCTTACCTGGCAGGAGCACTGCTGAGTTAATCAGGAACAAGA